GTAATTGTTCGGCATCCGCCCTACCTTATTTTTTGGACCTATCCTTCCTTCACTTGAACACAGCTAGCTTTGATACACGAATCGCTCAATCAGTGTGTCAGCCTTCGTCGGCTATGACAGATTCATCGGTGGACTTGTCTAGCTTGTCCCCGGACCAACAGTCTGCTCTCCAGCAGTACACTTCCGTCACAGCGCAGGATATAGAGGCCGCGGTCTCCCTTCTTCGGAGATGCGAGTGGAATGTCCAAGTATGATCATGTAACACTCTTATACACCTCCGACATACTCTAACACTAACAGATTGCCATTACCCGCTTCTTCGATGGTGACACGGACATTGTCGATGTCGCGGCCGAAGCGGCTAGGCAACCACCTCCGGCAGAAAGACGAGTAGAGAATATCCAGGATAGCTTCGATGTTCAGGCTTTCAGCGGTCGGCGGAGGGGTCTCGAGCCCGCTCCGAGAGTGGTACCTACGCCTGAATCGCAGATGACCCAAAGGCTGCCTCTTCTCGTGAGCATTATATTTCTGCCATTCAACGTCACCTACAGTATCTTTTCGCGGATCTTCAGCACAATTGGATGGGCCTTTCCATTTCTGCCACGACTGCTCAGCAGGCTCTATCCGGCACAAACAGCATCCTCATCCCGGTATGCTGGTCGGAAACCACTGAATCCAAGGGACACGGCGGCACGGTTCATCAGAGAATTTGAGGAAGACTACGGAGCAGCACCAGGCACTCTGCCCTTCCAGGAGAGTGGCTATGCGCAAGCCTTCGACATTGCGAAGCGAGACCTCAAATACCTCCTAGTCGTTCTGCTCTCCCCAGAACACGATGACACAGGACCCTTTGTCCGGGACACTCTTCTCTCCCAGGACTTCCAGGACTTTCTCAAAACGCGCTCCGACCTGCTCATATGGGGAGGCAGCGTGCAAGACTCAGAAGCATACCAAGTCTCCAACGCACTGAACGTGACTAAATTCCCCTTCGTAGGATTAATAGTCCACACGCCCTCAGTCAGCTCAACAGCAATGTCCATCGTCGCGCGTTTACCCGGCCCAATATCCGCACCATCTCTCATCGAACAGCTCCAAAAAGCCATCACAACCCGCGACGAGGAACTTCGTACCGCCCGTGCTACACGCGCAGAGCGATTGGCCACAGCCTCGATCCGCGAAGAGCAGAACTCGGCGTACGAACGGTCATTAGCAACGGATCGTGCGCGTGCCCAGCAGCGTCGTGAGGCTGAGGCGGCGCGGGAGCAGGAGGAGCGTGAAGCCCGTGAAAGGGCGGAAGCGAAGGCGTCACGGGCACAGAACATTGCTGCATGGCGGACGTGGCGCGCACAGTCGATCGAGTCGGAGCCTGCGGCCGAGGTGAAGGACGTTGTGCGCATCAGTCTGCGCTTGCCATCGGGAGAGCGTGTGGTGCGTCGCTTCGCTTCCGCGGCGCAGATGGAGGAGCTGTACGCATATGTGGAGTGCTATGACGTGCTGCAGCAGGAGGACAATGAGAAGCTTGGTGCTGCGGCAAAACCCAAGGGGTTCGAGCACGAGTACGGGTTTCGCTTGGTCTCGCCTATGCCAAGAGAGGTGTTTGGGTTGGAGCAGGGGGGTACGATTGCTGGGCGGATAGGGAGGAGTGGGAACTTGATTGTGGAGAGGGTCGAGCCAGAAGAGGAGGATGGAGATGAAGGGGAGGACGATTAGCACTTGTAAGAGTCAACACCTGGATGGGGTGCTGTGTAACGATAGATTCAGACGAACTGTGTCATCGTGTGTGTTTCTCTTCGAAGACTAAACAGGGACCAGTGCCACTCATGGCCGAAGCAGTAATTATGATAAGCCCTTCTACTATGCTGATGATTATCGTAGAAATCGACGACAGTCATCTGCATACCGGAAATCAAAACCGTGGGATTAAAGCAATGTTGGGCTGAAATTACACGCATTTGTGGTGATGAATTCGCTGGAATAATTTGTGAGGGCATTTGAATATCACATGTCACAATCCGTCAACAGCTCTAGGCACCAGTGGCTGTAGGCTGTCCACGCTGCCTAGTTGGGCTGCACCAGGGCTGGGGTAGCACATTTCATGGGCAGCAATTTATCATGAGCATCAATTTTGTCATCGTAAAACGAGGTTTGCTTGTGGAGACTTTTGCATGGGGGACTGGTTATGCTACCGGTGACTATCTATGGTGAAATGCCCAAGGTGCCCAATAGCGATACGACACCTGCACTTTGACTGTGAAGGGTGCAGTAGAGCAATGGCTTGATCAGGTGACAATGCTAGTCCCGTCGTAAAAAAAGGTCGAATGTGGATCCCACTGTCTAAAGCTGCATTGGGGCAAGATCCACCGCAGAGGCGCATACTTCCAAAAATGCGCGAGTCTTCTCTGCTGCTGGGGAAAAGTAAAATCGTCGTGTCGTCTACAAGTCCGCGTCCTCCTCATCAGGCAAAGGCATCTCCGCAGCGGCGTCCATGTCCTTCTGGTACTGCTTGAGGAGTTCCTGGTCGATCTGGACCTCGGGAGGAGCAAGGGCGGGAGCAGCGACGAATTCCTTCTTCAAGTCAGCAAATGATCTGGAAACAGTCGTAGTGGTGAAACTTACGAGGGACTGGTTTCCGACAAGCTTGCGAGCAAGCCACAGGAAGGGCTTCTCGAAGTTGTAGTTAGATTTAGCGGAGATGTCGTAGTATTGAAGGTTCTTCTTGCGGTGGAATGTGATAGTCTTGGCCTTGACCTTGCGCTCCTTGACATCAACCTTGTTGCCGGTGAGGACGATGGGGATGTTCTCGCAGACACGGACCAAGTCACCTGTTCAATGGTCAGAATTCTGTCGCAAACAATTGCGGATGTAGTCAGCTTACGATGCCAGTTGGGAACGTTCTTGTAGGTGATGCGGGAGGTCACATCGAACATGATGATACCGCACTGGCCGTTGATGTAGTAGCCATCACGGAGACCACCAAACTTCTCCTGTCCTGCAGTGTCCCAGACGTCGAACTGGATTTGACCCAAGTTCTGTCCAGCTGTTAGCTCTTGTTCGGCCGCCATCGCGATGCCGCCGTCTTACCGTTGAGAAGCCGAGAGGGTGCACCTCAACACCGAGAGTTGCGATGTACTTCTTTTCGAACTCGCCAGTCAAATGGCGCTTGACGAAGGTAGTCTAGAGGGACACAAGTCAGTAGAAGTAGGTAGAGTGGAGAGCAATGAATGAGGGACGACTCACCTTGCCGGTACCGCCATCACCGACGAGGACGAGCTTGAAAGTAGGAACTTGTGATCCTTCCGCCATGATTGAGATGATGAATTTGAGCTTGTAGTGAGGGTGAGGAAGCTTGTGCGATGGACTAAATCGTTGTCAATTGCGGTGTATTGGTGATGAAGGGTTGAGATACTGACGAGAGACGATGTTGTGAAGCGGAGGTGTGATGTGGGTTGATGAAAGAGGTTGATGTTCTGGGCAAAAGTTTCTTGGTGGGGCGGAATGTCAGAAGGCTTTCCAGGACTTTGCGCCAGCAGCTCACCGTGCAGGGCGCGTGCATCATTGTTTTTGCCCAAAGGTCGCACGGAAGGCGGTCTGGGGCCGTCGGCTAAATTGCGGCATTGCTGCCTCTGGGTGGCGCCGGTTGCCTGGTCTCGGAGTTCCGGACCGAAGGCATGACTGCACAGGACGACAACAGGCCGCTCACAAGGATGCCTTCATGTTCGCCCATTGGCTTTGTGAATTTATGATTGCTGATGACAAAGGCTATCATTCGCAAAAGTCCTGTTCAACCCACTCACTAAGAAGCTACTATGCCCTTCACAAATTTCCTCTCCGCCTTACTCCACCATGCATCACATTCCCACTCCCATCAACATGGTCGCCGTCCTCACCGTTCCTTCTTCTTTCGCTTCCCTATCCTTGGGACAGATGGTGGACCTCTGGCAAGCAGGTTGTCGGCGGTTTCATTCATCTCTTCCAAATCATTAGGCTCGAAAACCTTCAGTGATGATTCGTTCATTGCAGAATGAGACTTTGTGGCCTGCGTATTCAGATAGGGTCTGAAGTAAGGCTTTCCCTTCTGGGATAGCGAAACCGCAAGGGAATCGTAAATCACAATTATGATTGAGGTGTACTCTGGTTTGCCTGAGCCGGCCGTGCGACATGCGTGATTCTCACAGACTCTCTTTTGAACGACGGATTTGCCTGTGGCCCCGTGCCACTTGAGAGATCTGTGGTCCATGGTCCAGTCACATGTTTTGCAGAGAACAACAATGATCTGCGGTTTTGTAGGATCTTTGCAGATCAGAGAATTGATCTTGGTCTTTCTCTCGAATGCTTGCTGTGTTTCGCAGGTATCTCCATCTTCAATTCGGTAGTTGTTCGAAACTTCTAGAACATCAAGAGCTGAGCCGTCTTCGAATTCATCGCCACGTAGGAACGCGTTGAAATCGGCGCCTTATGTCTGCCGCGCTATGCTTTCAGCTGTATGCCAAGTGCCAGGTTTTGGGGTAGGCTTTTCTGATGCTTTGCTTTTGAAAGGGTGACAGCTTTGAATTGCTTCGAAGGTCATTTGTGAAAGATGTATGCATTCTACGTAGAAGCTCATTTTGGGGAAGAACTGTGACAATGACGTCCACTAATAATTACTGAAGAAGTGTTGTGAACAGGTGATACCAACCATTGTGTAAGCAGTCCACAGCAAGTGGTCTTGTGTAGCTGCGTTCTCTCCTACATTGAAGGGCAAGCAGATTAACTGAGGACGTTTAACGAATACAATGAATTTTTGACCAGTCCATCTTCGACCTCGCGTCAAGCGATGTGGTCGAACGTAAAAGCTGTTTGCGGATTTTGGGGCATATCGGAGCAACAGTGTATCGATTGATCTTGATAATTCTTAGAAAGACTGTTGTAGGCGTGAGCCGAAATATTGCCAGTAGACGCCCCTAGGAGGAAGGTAAAATCGGGGAGGGAAGGATAAACCCGAATTGAAAAAAAAGCAACTATGGTCACTACGAGGGTCGAACTCGCGACCTTGGCGTTGACTGGATAGATATATCCATATTAGCACCACGCTCTAACCAACTGAGCTAAGCGACCAGGATAGCCAAGCCAGGCACTAGATAAATATATATTGTACAACAATCATCATGCCACGCTTACGGATTCTTGGTTATTTGAGGCGCGCGGGTTTTCGGTTGACCTCCGCGACCCCGACTCCGACCCCGAACTTCTCTCCGCCTTCCAGAAAAAATAATGACGGTTCATGCAATCGCTGAGTAAAGCTTAGCACAGCAACGAATGCTACTCTTTATGCGCCGATGCTGAGGCCGCCTCTCGTCGTTCGCTATTCGACCGTCAAGACAACTCTTCGAGTAGCAATCTTCACGACCATCCGCCTATCACTTCAACCGCAACACTTCCACGCACAGTATCGCACCATGCCTACCAGCACCAAGCGTAAGCTCCATGGCCGGGCATTCTACGAGTCGCTAGGGAATCCCAAGTATATCCTGGCGCCTATGGTCGACCAGTCCGAATTTGTGCGTTTTCCTACCTGGCTTCCTTATATACTAGCCTACTGACTTCGACGAACAGGCATGGCGCCTTCTCTCCCGGTCCTTCATGCCTCACGAATCTTCCTCCGATCTTCTGTCATACACCCCCATGTTCCACGCGCGTATGTTCTCAGACACACCCAAGTACCGTGACGGACATTTCCAGCCACTGCACACCACTTTACCGACTTCTCGCCCTTCATCTCCAGCACCAGGGGCCAAGGCGAAGGACGAAGTGAACGAGACGGAGACAAGTCTGAATCTTGACGGCAACCCAGAATTCGACCGTCCACTCTTTGTACAATTCTGCGCCAACAAGCCTGCCGAATTTCTCTCGGCCGCACGCTTCGTAGCCCCCTACTGCGACGCCGTAGACCTGAACCTAGGCTGTCCGCAAGGCATCGCAAAGCGAGGTGGATACGGTGCCTTCCTACAAGAAGATTGGCCGACGATATCCTCACTCATCTCCACTCTACATAAAGACCTTGACGTGCCCGTGACGGCAAAGTTCCGGGTACAAGAGACGTACGAAAAGACACTCGAATACGCAAAGATGATCCTCTCCGCTGGCGCCAGCATAATCACCGTCCATGGCCGCCAACGCCACCAAAAAGGCCACAACACCGGTCTCGCCGACTGGGCTGCCATACGCTACCTCCGCGACAACCTACCTCCCGAAACCGTAATCTTCGCCAACGGCAATATCCTCCAGCACGCCGACATCGCGGCCTGTCTGGAGGCTACAGGCGCAGACGGCGTCATGTCCGCCGAAGGCAACCTCTACGACCCCTCGATCTTCGCCCCTCCTCCTCCAATCGGCCAAGAAGGCCGGGAATTTTTCCGCCCACCCCACGGCGGCGAAGGCGGCTACCGGATGGACGCCGTGCTCCGCCGCTATCTAGACATCCTCCACCGGCATGTCCTGAAGACCTCCCCTCCCACCCGCACACCATTATGGATGCCAGGCGAGCCCCTTCCCTCCTCCTCCACCAGCAAAGAAGATGAAGAAACCGACGGCCCTCCGCCGAAGAAGAAGCAGAAGCGCGCCGAGGCAGCGGCGTCCGATACGCCAAAGCCCGACAGGCAGGTCTCGCCCAACCTTACGGCTGTCCAGGCGCATCTGTTCCACCTCCTCCGCCCGCTGGTGGCAAAACACACACATATCCGGGACACGCTGGCGCGGACGCGGCCAGGGGATATGGAGGGGCTGGAGCGGATCCTGGCGATGGTAGAGGGCGTGGTGGCGGACGGTATCGCCGAGGCGGTGGCCGCTGCGCCTCCTGCCCCTCGGCAGCAGGAGGAGGTAGGAGATGAGGATCCGTCCCGGTCGTCGGCCGCGGCGGTGGCAAGGTGTCGGCGGCCGTGGTTCGTGTGTCAGCCTTATGTACGGCCATTGCCGGAGGAGGCGATCGAGAAGGGCGCGATGCAGGTGAGCAAGAAGATGAAGCGGAAGCTGGAGATGGAGAGGAAGGAGAAGGAGGCAGAGGAGGCGGAGAAGGCGGGGTTGCCTGCTGGAGGGACCGTGGAGAAGGTTGAGGTTGGTAGTGGGGAGGTTAAGGATGAGGGGGCGAGGGAGAAGGTGGAGGTTCCTAGGGAAGGGCTGGTGTGTGGGTAATGTCACGAATGTCTTGCTTGACGATATGCATGTATAGATTTAGAGCTGGAGGGAGTTCAAAAACTTTGGGAAATTCCACGGTGCTGCGCACGCCTTGGATAGGCAATGCCGCACTAACATAGAGCTAGAGCTAGAGAAGCAGTCACGCCTAAGACTAGAAGCAGAGCTGGTTCGTAGAGGACGTTCCTCCGAGCCCGTACCAATCGCTTTGCCTGACCGTAGCTACGCTTCCGCACATTCTTCATTGCTCCATTGTGTTTCTTGTAGTAGGACTGCCTGAGCCTGCCTGATAGGATCTCGTCGAGCACTCTTTTAGTGGCCAATCCTGCTTCCCTTGTTGTCGTTGGTCACGCCATCTCTGCCGGAGGCCTGGACAGGGTTGTCAGTGTGTATCGGAGTTGGGGGTGGATCGTTTAAACGTACCTCCGACTCAATGATGTCGCCCTTCTCAAGGATCTGCGCGACAACATCTTCCTCCTTGCTGGTGCCGAACTCGCTCTCCAGCTGGCCCTTTGACGCGCCGTCGAGCACACCCTGGGTTCCCTGCCTGGAAACTGCTGTCAATATATGGAAGGTTGAGAGAAAGTCCTCCCACGGGTGAGGGAGATAGGAAGCACTCACTTGTGCGTGACGAAGACCTTCCAGCCACCAACGACCTGCGCAAGAGGGATGGTCTTGTCCGCCCTCCAGTCTTTGGCCGCCTTTGCAGAGTCAACGATGATGATGTAGTCGTCCTCCTTGCCCTTCCAGTGCACACGAGTGACGCCGGAGTTGCCCCTCATTTTGGTATGTGTGTAGTGGGTGGTGAGTGGTGAGGGTTTTGAGTGAAGTGTTCGTTCGGTGAGCTTGAGGAGAAATTGAGTTTGGGTATTGAATTGGAAGTTATGAGAAGAGGGAGAGAGGGGAAGAGAAGAAAAGGACGTTGTGTTCCTGGCTGTGCAAATGGAGGTGAGAGACAAGCTTGGTACAGTGTGCACCTGCCACCTTTGAGCTCTCGGTCAGTCCGTGCCCAAACAGCGTCTGTGCATGGAGGGGCATGACGTCAAGCTTGCGCCCCGTCAAGGCGCAACCCGCCGTAAATTGCTTGCCGTGGTGAAATATGGAGCAAATAATGACACCCGCAATGCATTCACTAAAAACACTCGCCATACGTGATGCTGTGCTACTACCTCATGAAACCATTACCCAGGCCAGTGCTTTCCCGCGCGGACACGCGCTATGCCAATCCTCGCGATCCATCCAAACGACAGTCGTGGTAAAGATAATGCTCGCGTCATGCTCTTCGACCCTCACTTATCCTAGCAACCTCGCCAACTTGCTCTTCGCCCGCTGCCTCATCCCTGGTCTGACTTCTGACCCCCCGATCTGACCATCACTCGTTGACTGTTCCCTGCTCGTCGGCGCATCCGCCATCAGCACGGTTGGTGTCGACATTGCTGTCTGACTGCGGTCGGCAACCAGCTTGTCCGCGTCAAAGTCCGAGCGGCGACGTCGTGTGACCACGCTGTGCGAACGCTTGATCGAAGACACCGATTGCTCATTCTCAGTCACGAAGAAGCCACCCCGCGGCCTCTCGCTGCCCATCGTAAAAGTTCTCAGTCCTCCCAGCCTGCCGCGTGCCTTTGCCGGGTTACTGAGCTCAAAGTCCTCCGGTAGGAATGCTTCGGGTGCGGTATGGAAGTTGATGACCTTCCTTTCCATTGGCTTCTTGGGCGGCTTGGGAGGCGGATTGCGTGGTTTTGGCCGAATCCTTGCATTTCTGTCGTCCAGAGGTGGCTGGCTGGTGTTGCTGAAACTCATCGACCTTTTGGAAAAGTTACTCGTGATGCTTGCTATGCTCAACTTGCGTATAACGTGGTTTGCTGATGCCCTCACACTGTACTCGCCTTTCTTGGAACCTAGACCAGGGAATGGCAGTGCATCCTTTGTCCACACATCCACCAGCAGCGCTTCGAGGTGAATACGGTCGCTACGTCTGGGCGCCAGAACAGGGATGTGACTCGGAGTCAGCACTGACTGAGATCTCGGTATCGGCAAAGAGCTGCTCGAGGTGGTCGTATCCTTCCCGGCGGCTTGCGTGTTCTTGATGATGACCTGATTGAGCTCGGTCAGTGGCCCCAGGGTTGCGGCTCGCTGCACAGAAGACCGTCGCTTGAAATGAGCGTCACGTCCATAGGCTTTGCCAACACTGCGCATCTCATCTGTGATCGGAGACGGTATTTCGATTCCTCCTGTGCGCCCTTCATCTGAGTATTGCGACTCAACAGCGATACGCCCCGAAATATTGTGACGCCAGGATTTGGCTTCAGTAGCGGAACATGCAACGCACAGGATTTCGAATAAAGCTCCCTCGTTTTCAAAGACGATTTTCCAAGCGTGGGGCGTGGTGTGGCATTGGAGTGCTGCTTACTTGTTAGCTGCGGACATGATCTCGAACCACGGAGGACTGACATTTCCCATTGTCAGACTCCTCAATTGAAGCATGGCCAAGTGAAATCCCAAGTAGCACACGATATTTGCCCGGCCCGTTCGTGGCGATGATCAAACATGACTCGTATAATACGCATATCGCGTACTGACCCTTTGTGTTCGCCGTACCACGATAAGCAATGTATAGAGCCCCGCAGAGCAGCAGCCTGCCAAAGTCATGAAAGGTGAAATCAACAGGTTTCTAAGAGCGTCAGCCAAGCTCGAAGTGAGGAAGACCCCTACCAACCATATCAAAATGTAATTTCTGCTCCAAGCGGCGTTGACTATCCAAAACTTTTAGTCTCTCGGCGCTGCCGCTAGCCTCGTTGAGATCGTGACATGTTTGCGATATCACAAACAAGGCGTCGTCCAGCACCGCATGGGACGAAGGGTCGTCACAGGAGGGTGTCAAAGTGCAGAGATCCTTGAACAAGAGTTCGTATCTGGTGATCCGTTGA